AGGAAAGGGTGAGGGTATGGGAGAGGAGAAGAAAAAAATGGAAGGAACAGTGAAAGAAGAAAATGGAGGAGATAAAGAAAAAAAGAAAGTTTAGAAAGGTGGGAGAGGATGAGGGAGATGGATTGAGAAAGGATGAAAGAAAAAAATAATGAGAAAGACCAAATTATATACAATCAAACATCATTACTTAAATCAGAACTGAAGTTATTCATAGTAACCCTAATGTTTGAAAAAAATATATATATACCCAAGTCATAAAAATAATATAAACACAAGTTACATTAACAACGGTACTTATTGCAATATCAATAACAAGAGATAAATTAAACTAAAGAAAATAAAAGTGTCCACAACAAAAATCTCATCCTCAATGCACAAATAAATATAATCTTAACTCCTTTTCACCTACCTTTATCTGTCTTGATGTTGACCCCTAGAGGAGCCTTTCCAGACTTGGAGCCATCGACGTGGAAGGTGAGAGGCACACCAGCACGTACCTTGCCTGGCTCCAGCCCTGAACCCCAAACGTTGACCTGGGATGCGTCTACATTCTGGTCCACTCCCACCTGTTTTGAGGGAAAGTGAATTTTAACTGTATGTTGATATGGTTTTTGTTACTGCTACTCTCTCTCTCTCTCTCTCTCTCTCTCTCTCAGAAATAGGTAAGCAAAATATAATTACACCCCCCCCCAAAAAAAATATACATAAAAATTAATAATACTGAGTAATAAAACCTACTTTGAATGGAGATCCTGGAATGTGCTGGTCAGCAAACTTAATGGAAACATCATAGTCCCCAGCCTCCAAGGGGATGTACTCGACAGTGCAGGAACCATCACGGTTGTCCTTACATGTCATCTTGGCCTCAGATGGTCCCTCAATTGCCAGGCCCAAACCACCTGTTCCAGCACCTGTGTCCAGAGATTGGGAGGAGGTCATTAGCAGGTTTGATAGGGCAGATAAAGAGACTCAATGGGGTCATATGTTTGGGCCAAGATTCAAAAGTAGATGTAAGGGTCAAGATGTATGATATGTTTGAGTATCACATATATAATGGTGATTTGTTGATTGTTTTCTGCAATCAAATGATGGACAAATATGCATTGTATACATCAAGCAAAGACAGCAACTTAAGAACATGAAGAAGAAACAGAACAGTAAAAATGAAATACAAATTCATAAGACACCTGAGAAAAATTATTGGCAAATAGCTTGTACACAGACCTTTTGTTTCAACTGTGAACGTATTGACCTCGTTCACAAATCCACGATCGAGACCTGGGCCAAAAGCATGGCACTTGTTGGGGTCACATCCACGACGCACGTTGACTGTGAAGGGTGACCCAGGCACTGGCACTCCATCATAAAGGAGATCAATAGTGTGGCGACCTGAGTGAGTGCATCAGATTACCATTAATCACTGGTAATTAATATTATATGCTATATCATAGTTTATGTCATCACAAGCGGGTAACAGGTTAAGACAGGCTTTATGTATCAAAATCTCATAAGAATAATTGTATAAAAATGTGAATATCATTATGTGACAACCAATAATGATCACTTCAAACATGAAAAATAAATGTGAAAAAAAGAAAAAAACTAACTTCTGAATATACCACAAAACATTAAACCATTAAGTCAAAATAAAACATACAGATACACACACACACACACACATACAATAAAACTATCTATCCATCAATCCATCCAACCCATCAACCCCATCCAATTCCGCCAAAACCCTACCTTCTTCAAATGGCGTGTAGGATATCTTGTACGTTCCATCTGTAAGAGGCCTGAGGAAGGAATCTGTCCGAGTTCCTGAAGGATTGGTGATGATGCACATCACCTTGCCATCTCCTCTTCCGTCCTTCACATCTACGCCACCCTTTGTGTCTTTCTTCAGGTTGGCGAGGGCCCTTGTGTCCACAACGAAGTCGGTGGGGGAATCCACAAACACGCCTGGGATAAGAGAGGTGGGTATTACTTTTTATTCTATTTGATGATACTATGCCTACATTTGGTGTATTTTACCATCTACTACCTTATTCAAACATATTCAAGAGTCATAGTAGATAGTCCATGTACATCTTAATATATAGATCACACATTTAAACATATCATTCCTAAAATATTCAGTTAGAGACTGTGTTGAATGCACTAAACCAGCAAGAATAAAAAAAAAAAATTAAATAAAGTATATATACACTCACAAACACACAGACAAATGCACAGGCATGCATACACACAGGCACACACACACACACACACACACACACACACACACACACACACACACACACACACACACACACACACACACACACACACACACTCTCTCTCTCTCTCTCTCTCTCTCTCTCTCTCTCTCTCTCTCTCTCTCTCTCTCTCTCTCTCTCTCTCTCTCTCTCTCTCTCTCTCTCTCTATCTAATATATATATAATATATATATATATATATATATATATATATAATAATATATATATAATATATATAT